GGAGAAACTCCATGGGCCTAGAACTTAGTTAAAAGCTTAAGCCAAAACATCTTTTAAACAGTGCCAGATCTCAGATCCCATACCCAACCCTTAAAACAATAAAGCCTAACGAAACTACCTAAACTTTACCCTACTTACAGAAAATGAAGAATGGTGTCTTGGAGAGAGAGAGACATGCTTGTCCCTCTCTGTAGCTGCAGAGCACTCACCCAGAGAGACAAAAGGGAGAAAGGAAAAAACCCAAATTCCTTTGTCCCAGTTTGAAAGTCCCACCTACATTCCTACTGGTCACTTCACCTGGCTAGGTGTAGTTAACCCTTTAATCCCCAGGCTGTTGGCTAACCCTCATAATCATGACAGCTGAATGCTATAAATGCTACAGTGCATGGTCTGCCATTGACTATGCATTTGTGCTGTGCCCTGACCCGGGTAAATCCTCTGGGAGCTACTGCAATAACAAATTATTATTATTTCAAGGTCAAGCAATACATCTGGAGTAAAGAAAATCAAGCAGTACCTGGAGCATATCCAGATCCAGTTGAGAAACACAGTCATCTGTGCAGATCTTAGCGGGCTAACGCCAAATCTTGCGCTTGTTGTATTTGCTTATCAGACTTTTCTAGACAGCTGTTTGCAGTATTTATTTCGCTATGGGAGTTAGGGAGTTTGGGTAATAGAAAGGATAGAAGTTAACTTGGGCTTTTACATTTCATCTAGTACAGCCATGGATCCAGTACAAATGGAAACCTTGGGCAATGCCTTGCACAATGGGGACCAGATCTGTGAGGAGGGCTCCCAGGTGCTCTGGTAAAAAAAGAAGAAAACTGAAACAAAAGGCAGGACTCTGCAGCACTTTAAAGACTAACACGATGGTTTAGTAGGTAGCTTTCGTGGGCCGGACCCACTTCCTCAGATCAGTCTGTGGAAGAAAATTGGCGCAACCGTATATACCAAAGGATACAATCAAAAAACAGTGAACACATAAAATTGACAAATCGGATTTTGGAACAGAGGGGAGGTGAGGGGGGAAGGTCAGTGTCTATGAGGTAATGATATTAGGGGTGATAATTGGGGAAGCTACCTTTGTAATGGGTGAGATAATTCACATTTTTGTCGGTCCTGTTGAAGTCAACAGCAGACATCCAATTGACCTTGAGATCTTCAACCAGGAGATCATTCATTGGCTTGAATGGAATTCCTCCTGATTCAGACCGACCTCCTTGTTTTGAGAACATCAGAGGGGTTCAAAGTGACTTCAGAACAAACATTGAATTGAGCAAAGAGTGTTTTGCATACAATCCCCACTTCAAATGTAATGGGACTTTAGCCTTGCTGTCCCTGTGAGTACACAGACTCCAGTTTAACTGTTGATGGGCTGATCACAAAATGCTGCTCTCTCACACCATGATTTTGGATAAAGCCCTAAGAGAAACACACTGCTGGAAACTTCCCTGCTTTGGCAAGGAGCTGGAGTGGGAGAGCTGAAGGTTCTTTTCCAGCTTTTCTTTCATGTATTTTGTGCCTTGGAAGAACTGCACATGTAACATAAAATTAACAAAAATATTTCTTTTCAATTTCTTTTTAACTTCTATTGATGATGTTGGTAACAATCCTGCCAACCCCAAACATTCAAAAATCATGAGTTGTTCCCCTTCTCCAAGTCCTCCATGACACTGACTTAAAAAAAATCACATTTATAAAAAAATACATATAGGGTTCTTTTTATTCGCCTTCTCCTTAAAGGGGCCAGCCTTTCACGCTTTTCTCTGAAACCCTAAGAATGAAAATCTTACTCTTATTTTTAAATGAAAATTGAGATTCTCACGTAACTCTCTCCAGGAGCTAGCACTTCAAGAAAAACATGATATATCACAAGATTTGGCAAGCTTTATTGGTTAGGGGTGTGAAAGAAAGGGTGACAAATGTCTGGAGAGGGACAGAGAAGCATGTGTGTGGGAGGGGGAATAAGGAGAAACTAAAGGAAAGGAAACAAAGGAGAGATAAGGGGAAGGAGGATGTGCATAGATAGGGTATCTCGAGAATAATCTAACATCCTGCCATCCCTCTCCAGCCTCTGACAAACAGAGACCAAGGACACCATTTTATCCCCTGGCTAATAGCCCCTTATAGCCCTAACCTCCATGAAAGTATCTAGCTTCTCTTTAAACTCTGTTATAGTCCTAGCCTTCACAGCCTCCTCTGGCAAGGAGTTCCACAGGTTGACAACACGCTGTGTGAAGAAGAACTTTCTTTTATTAGTTTTAAACCTGCTACCCATTAATTTCATTTGGTGTCCTCTAGTTCTTCTATTATGGGAACTAATAAATAACTTTTCTTTATCAGCCCTCTCCACACCACTCATGATTTTATATACCTCTATCATATCCCCCCTCAGTCTCCTCTTTTCTAAACTGAAAAGTCCCAGTCGCTTTAACCTCTCCTCATAGGGGACCCGTTCCAAACCCCTAATCATTTTAGTTGCCCTTTTCTGAACCCTCTCCAAGGCCAAAATATCTTTTTTGAGGTGAGGAGACCACATCTGTACACAGTATTCAAGATGTGGGCGTCCCATAGTTATATATAGGGGCAGTAAGATATTCTGGGTCTTATTTTCTATCCCTTTCCTAATAATTCCTAGCATCCTATTTGCTTTTTTGACCGCCGCTGCACTCTGTGTGGAAGTTTTCAGAGAACTGTCCACGATAACACCAAGATCTCTTTCCTGATTTGTCGTAGCCAAATTAGCCCCCATCATACTGTACGTATAGTTGGGGTTATTTTTCCCGATGTGCATTACTTTACACTTATCCACATTAAATTTCATTTGCCATTTTGTTGCCCAATCACTCAGTTTGGTGAGATCTTCTTGGAGTCCCTCACAGTCTGCTTCTGTCTTGACTATCCTAAACAGTTTGGTATCATCTGCAAACTTTACTACCTCACTGCTTACCCCTTTCTCCAGATCATTTATGAATAAGTTGAAAAGGATTGGTCCCAGGACTGACCCTTGGGGTACACGACTAGTTACCCCTCTCCAATCTGAAAATTTACCATTTATTCCTACCCTTTGTTTCCTGTCTTTTAACCAGCTCTCAATCCAAGAAAGGCCCTTCCCTCTTATCCCATGGCCATGTAATTTACACAAGAGCCTTTGGTGAGGGACCTTGTCAAAGGCTTTCTGAAAATCCAAGTATACTATATCAACTGGATCCCCCTTGTCCGCATGTTTGTTAACCCCTTCAAAGAACTCTAACAGATTAGTAAAACAGGATTTCCCTTTACAGAAACCATATTGACTTTTGTCCAACAAATTATGTTCTTCTACATGCTTCACAATTTTATTCTTTACTATTGTTTCGACTAGTTTGCCCGGTACTGAAGTTAGACTTACCGGTCTGTAATTGCCAGGATCGCCTCTAGAGCCCTTTTTAAATATTGGTGTCATGTTGGCTACCTTCCAGTCATTAGTCTCTGTGGTCCACCTACTGCACCCCTCAAAGTGTGATCCCCTGATCACAGTAGAGGACAAACTTCAGAAATACTTGTCCCACCGGCACTAAAGAGCAAATCACTCATCCTGTTAAAGAAAAAAAAGTGTGTGGGTGGGGTAGGGGGAGGGAAGGGCAGGTGGGTGGAAGAGAACAAGAGTCCTACAGAGAGCAGGTATTAAAGGAAAGATGGAAAGCCACTGGGAACAGACGTGCCATGGACAGTATATGAAAAGTGAGGAAGGATGAGGTGGACTGTGCAGGATGACTCAAAAGCTACAACAAATGGTCTGATAGCACTGTATAGACTAACAAAACATGTAGATGGGATCATGAGCTTTCTCGGGCACAGCCCACTTCTTCAGTTGACGAGAGTTCTGAGTTTAGGATGGGCAGACCCAAAAAAAAAAGGGGAGAAGGGGGGGGGGGAGAGGGGGATGGGAGACAGGAAAAAAGCTACAAACAGGAGTTAAAGTAAGGTGGTGGAGCACTTGGAAATTGCTCTCTCCTTGGCATTGGCCACTCTCAGAAGACACGCTACTACTAGATGGACCATTGATCTGACCCGGTCTGCCTGGCCTTATGTTTCTCTCCTTAGGGGAGAAGCTTAGAAGAAGGGTAAAGCTCCCCCATTCCCATTCTAAAGCCAACGGGGAGTTCCCTCTGCTCTGTTGGGCTTGGCCCTTCCCCCAGGAACCCTCTCTGCTCATTGGCCAGCATGAGAGCTCCCCAAGATTGTTTCCATCTGCTTTCACCACTGCTTAAGAGTTACCTACTGTCTCTATGACTACCCCAGCAAAGCCTTGCCATCTGATTGTCTTAGGCAGAGTGCTGAAGAAGCGGATGATGACAAAGTGCACATTTGTCTAGCCTGACCTATTCCGTGTATTTCCACGGAAGGTGATGGGCAGTTCTGCATAACTCAGGTCCAAGCCATGCAGAATGCGATTATGCTGCTTACAATTATTATTAAAGTCCTCATTTTGATACTGTCCCGCAATTGCTGGGTTTAATTCAGTGGTGAATTGGCCAGGGTGCATGTGAACCACTGCCCTCTCTTGGCTGGAATCAGAATTGCACAACTGTGGGTCATAGATCATATGTGTTAGGAGACTGAGATGTTCAAGCTGTGGGCCCTGTGTTTCTGGAGCAAAGGGAGCTACGGTCTCCCCTGATGTTGAGAATCGTCTAATACGCAGCCTTAAAATGAGAACAGCAAGCCCTAAAATGGCCACGGGTTTGCCAGAAGTAGCAGCCAGCGCTGTAATGTTCGGGTTTTCCAAACAAATGGCCCCTAGCAAAACTTTAATTCTTGCAAGGTTGGGCTTGGATCAGAAAGCAGAAACAAGTCGTGGTAGCTGACACACTGGAGTGCAGCTGTCCAGTGCAAACAAGCCGACCACGGAGGGATAGCTGGAGGAACGGGCATTTTCGGTTCGCCCCCACGACCGGGATCACGGCTGGTTCAAACCCAGCAGTGCTCGTCCAAGCCCTCGGCCACGCACAGACGGTTCAGTGTCTGCTGCCTGGGATAGAATCCACCGCCTGCAGCTTTAAGAGAGGGGAGGGTCCCGGCCGAGGAAAAGGCGAAGTCTGCCCACAAGGGCTTCGTTCGCCTTCCCGCTCCATTCAGAAATTCCTCCCCGCACATTCCCGGCGCCGCGGGGGCCTGGCTCGCCTCTCCCGCACACGTGCGCCGCGGAGCGGGACCGAGCCGGCTGCGCGGCTGACTTTGTGAGCTGCTGGCGGGGGGAGGTGGCTTTACACCAGGAAGCTGTTTGCTGCGCTTCTCCACGCTCAGCTGCGGAGCCGGGCTCGCCCCGATTCAACAGCAGCCTCTCGCCGGCCGCGGCGCGCGGAGCGGAGCGGGGGGGACGCGTTGTTTTTGCGCCGCGCTGCGCGTGTGGCGATGGCTGCGTGATGGCCCAGTACAGCAACTCCGCGCCGCACGCCATGGCTGCCAGGGAAGAGCTCTACAGCAAAGTCACCCCCCGGAGAACCAGGCAGCACCGAGCGGGGACCATCAAGCACGGCTCGTCTCTGGATGTCCTCCTGTCCATGGGGTTCCCCAAAGCCCGGGCGTAAGTCGGCGCGGCGTGATGCCTCCCCCTGTGCTGCAAGGGCTGGGGCGGGGGGGGGGGGGCT